ATTAACTTGCTTAATTTATTGGATAAAAATGTAGTTCTTTAAGTTCATGCAAATTTAAAATAAATAAATTTATTCAAGATTCAGAGCTTGTAATTATTCCAGTTATTGAAATTCGTCAAAGAACAAAACATTTAAAACACAAGACGTAGAACCAGGTGGTGTAAACGACGTTCCAGTCAGCTGCTGGTGCTGAGCCGGCGTGAACTGACCTGTAGGTGATGACGGCGTTGTCCCCGATGTCTGCGTCGGTGGCGGACAGCGTCAGCAGCAGCTTTCCTTTCTCCGCGTCTTTCTGCAGGATGCTGCTGACGTAGCTGCTGGAGCTGAACTCAGGACTGTTGTCGTTGACGTCAGAGAGGCTCACTCTGATGGTGGTGATGCTCTGGTGGAATGAACGTGTGCATCAATTCAGTCGGATCCATTCCAGTTAAACAGCCCCCGTTCACCTAAACACTGCATCTGTTTCTTTGCCCGTTTAAAGCATGTTTGGCAACAGCATCTAAAAAACCCTCAATTTCAGCATTTATGCCTGATTAAGTTTGGATGAATCTTATGTGACTCCCTCCATCTTCTCTGCAGACGTCTCTTACCTCTCTCTGTGGGACGCCTTTATCTGAAGCCCTAACAACCAGGTCGTACGAGTCCCTGCTCTCGCGATCCAGAGGGCCAACAGCCAGCAATGTCCCATCCTGCAAAACAAGACACAAAAACACATCACAGGTGCACCTAAAGCTGTTCCCTGACTGGGCCTCTTGCTGTGCTGCAACTGCCGCAATGCTGCTACAAACTACTGTAATTAACCAGTATACAGCATACGTGGGAAGACGGCATGTGTCTGCCTCACTGACGGGTCAACTTGTCAAGAAGAAGGGTGCGATTTCAAATTCAAATGGCTTTTATTAGTATGAATGTTGAAGGTATGTCATTGCCAAAGCTGGATGACCAAACACTGAAAATCTGAACCTATTTCCCCTGAACAGCCAAGGTACAATCTTTGGAATGCAAGTTGATTTTAGTCCAATTAGCATTACAAAAAAGGTGCTACAACAAAATAAGAAGAAGGCTTGTAGAGTTGTCAGGTATCATCACTGAATGGAATGATGTCATATGTATTTAACAGCACTGAACCGGCCCAGAAAAGCAAAACACACACATCACACAGACGCGTTCCTGTGGATTCACTTTATAGTTTGTTCAAGACACATTTTTGAATTGCGTCGTGTGTGCGCTGTGTGCATAGTCCCACTGATGTTTTACCTTCTCGAAGCAAGATTACAGACTGACCACGATGGCACTTGTGGGTTGTGTTTAAACCACAAAGGAGTGAGCAGCAGCCTCCTGCTATGGCTCAGGCTGACATGCTGTATATTCCCAGGCCTCACCTCTCTGAATCTGAAGAGTGGGTTGGGGGACGCGAGGGAGAGGACGACCTCTCCGTTGGCGCCGAGGTCGGCGTCCGTGGGCACGATGGTGATGAGTTCTCCCGGAGTTTCCTCTGAGTAATCGCCCTCGGGGACGCTCACGGGGTCGGGGATGCTCGGGAACTGTGGCGCGTTGTCGTTGTAGTCCAGGACGGTGACGTTGAGCTGAGCGCTGGCGCTCAGACCGCCGCTGACCTGATCTACTGCCACAACCTGAACACAGAGAACAACAGAAACTCAGCTGAAAATAAAGACAGGATCTTACAAAGGTTTAACTATTTATTCAGTTGCTTTAGTTCCAACCAACACAAGGACAAATATGACTCACAGAAATGTTATTAATCCCAAAGAAGTGAGCCAAAAGAGAAAAGTGACGGGTTATTGTCACCTGTTTGGCTTCTGGATGTAGTTATAAAGAGTTTCGTGAAGTGTTTCTAAAGATCCAGGACATTTGTTTTTTATCAGGGCTGCCACCTAAACAAGGAACCTTAAACTCATGTAGATGTTTAGGAGGTTCAAAATCACACTCCCTCTGTAACACTATGGTGAAGAAGACGATCACCTTGCAGTTGTGTGCTTCTACCAACCAGTCAGGTTTAGTGCAGTGTGTATCCATGTCACCTACTGGTCCTGAATATGGTGCTGAATAACAGTCAGAATACCTTTCTTGGCTGGACATTAGGATGTCACAGTTGAAACTAAACTAAACTATGACCCTTTGGATGTACGAGTTGTGTCAGAAGAGCTCCAGGACTGGTGTCACAAAAGATATGTTTCAAACCCAAACTACAAACTGGGAGTTTTCCCCTTCAGACGATCAACAAAGTGATCCTGCAGCATTTGCTTCGTTCAGAAGAGTTGTGTCAGGACCAGTGGTGGCTGCTTCACCATGACAACCTGCTCACAATGCCCTGAGCATCCCACAGCTCCTGGCTGAGAAGAACATCTCCGTGCTGGAACAACCTCCCTACTCACCCCACCTGGCACCGTGGGATTGTTTCCTCTTCCCCAAGCTCAAGGGGGTCATCAAGGGACCCGTTTAGAAGACGTGGACGACATCAAGATGGCTGTGATGACAGAGCTGAGGAGGATCCCGGAAGAATCCTTCCAGGAGTGCATGGCGGCGTGAAGAGAAGGCTGGGGAGGTGAGTTAGACTCCAGGGGCATTACTACGAAGGGGAAAACTTGTAGTTTGGATTTGAAATACACCAGTCCTGGAACTTTTCTGACACACCTCGTAAAATGTCAGCACTTTTCTGTTAGATATTTGTGTAAAAAGAGGTGACAATGATTTTCTGACCATCAAAATTTGATCAGTTCATCATTTGGGGAGCATCTGCGCCAAATTTGAAGACATTCCTTCAAGGCGTTCCTGAGATATTGTGTTCATGAAAATGGGAGAATAGGATTCCTCTGGCTGCATGTGTCACCAACACGGAAACAAAATGGACTGTTTTATAGATATATGACAGCCCTTTACATGCCAGGGAAATGGAACCACACATATAAAATACCTCATCCTGACTGCTGAACAAAAGCAACTTTTTTTTCCTTGTTTGTATTTCATAAGTTACACAAGTATGCCTTTTATTCATAAAACAGTAAAGCATGTTTTAATGTAGCTCACTCCGAAACTGGACTATTTATTTTTCTTTCAGTTTGTAAATAAAGGTTTTACAAAATTTCATTGAAATCTTACAAAGTTTATAAAACAAAAATAACTCCACAGAGCCTCGCTAATATGCACTCATTGGTCCAGGAATAAGCACATTAGTAGAAGGTAAATGATCTGCACTTGTGTCAGACACTCTTGAAGACGTGAGCTGCTGGGTGTTTTGGGAGACTTATGTAAAGCTCATTACTGAAACAAGGAGGTAGAAAAGAAAATCTTGCTGTGCAAATAACAGATGTACCTCTAATACGTAGCTGTCAGTTGTCTCTCTGTCCAAGGTGACGTCGTTCCTCAACGAGACAACGCCTTGGTTGTTAATGGCAAAAGTATCGCTGGTGTAGACGAAGTAGCCGTTTGAGAATCCGCCCTAAGAAGAAAGGTTAGCGTGCTTAATGTCTTCACAGAGTGAATCATCAGCAATGGAACAGCAACAGGTACTTATCAGAAGTGTTGATATATCTACTATAGTCTGGGAAATGATATGATTATAAAGCAGCGGTGCCAAAGTCCAAATAGTAACAAAGGAATGCACTAAAACACCAAGTCACATTCCTTGTATGTGTGAAAACCTCCTTGCAATAAATTCTTTCTGATTCTGAGATTAATATTCATCTGATCAGTGTTTTAGTCTAAAAAGGAATTGAAACTCCAAATTACTGCGTGTATTTCACCAAACACATCACATTGTCTGACACCAAAGTAATCTGCTCTGATGGAACCAAGAACTCAAAGTTTTTCAGATCAGAAGCAGCTGAAGTAACTTCACCAGAACAAAAGCAGGTGATCTGCACGTTGCATGTTACTCACCTCGTCCCTGTCAGTGACCTCCAGAGTCACAATAGATGCACCGCTGGCCAGATTCTCAAAGACGGCCACATCATAGCTGTCCTTACTGAACTCTGGGGGGTTGTTGTTCACGTCCTTCACCTTCACCACCACAAAGCTGTTCCCAACCAGAGAGGGAGTCCCCCCATCAGAGGCCTGAACCTCCAGCGTGTACGCCTTCACCTTGCTGTAGTCCAGAGGCTGGACCACCTGCAGAGTCCCACTGGAGGACTCCAACTCAAACACAGCAGGCTCTGATGAAGGACTCTGCTGGATGATGCTGTAAGTAACTTTCCCATTTGCGCCTTCATCAGGGTCTGCGGCCGTCAACTTGAGCACGCTCGTACCCACCGCCTCCGTTTCTAAGACTTCAACCTGATACTCGGCCTCAGAGAACTTTGGGGCGTTATCGTTGATGTCGGACACTTGGACCAGCAGGGTGGCTGTGGCCGATCTGGCTGGACGACCCTGATCTTCAGCCACCACCAGCAGGTTGTACTCTGCCTCAGTCTCCCTGTCAAGAGCAGCAGCCACACGTACCAGCCCAGACACAGGATCGATAGAAAACCTCCCCAGTCCTCCTGTCAAAGAGTATCTGATCTCCTTGTTGAAGCCGCTGTCTTTGTCTGTAGCTGTAACCTCAGTAACATTGGATCCTACTTCTGCGTCCTCTGGGACAGATGCTGTGACAGAACTGGAGGTGAACACAGGACTGTTATCATTGACGTCAGTGACTTCAACCTCCACGACTGCGCTGTCGCTGTTGATGCCGTCGGTGAGGGTGATTTCCACAGAGTAGCTGTGCGGAGCGTCGTCGTAGTCGAGTTTCACCGTCGTAGTGAATTCACCAGTGGAGGAGATGGCAAACTTGTCGCCTTCTGTTTCAACTTGGAGGGTCAGAGGAATCCCAGTGTCTAATGTCAGGATGTCAACCTGAATAAAGAGGAAAAGAATTATGTCGTTCACTATCAGCTATTTTTCATTTTGTTCAGTTAAGGATCTTTATTACATATCTAAACGACAAACTGAGATACAACAACAAGGACTGTATCTGTATTAAATGAAAGATTTTAGTCTGCTTTTTACTCAAATCAATTAGCTAGGTTTACAGAGACAAATGAAAAGAGGAGCCTGTTCCCCCTGGTGCAGAAATAAATACCCTGCAAAGGCCAGATTACCTTTAAAGTTGGCATAGATACTGATGGCTGGCAAAGGGTCATTCACCACAAACCAATGTACCAGTTTGAACTGGATTTCCTGCAGACATTCATGATCCTCAGAAGCACATCCCAAAAGCACAAACATGCCTTGAAAATATTCAAAGCATAGTGCCACAAACGGCTAAAAGTAAAGATATCGATCTGTTCTCTGAGGACGACTTTTAAAGCTTTCTCCTTTAGGTACAGTTTGATTTGTTTTCCATCGCAAGAAATGAATTAGTGGAAGAGGAGGTGGATGAGATGAAGGGTATTATCCCTGTGATGGTCTCTGCTAATTTGCAGAGGAGCTCACCTTCAGTATTATTGTTCCTGGCGCGCTCTCTTCTTCTATGGTGCCACTGTAGGTGCTCTGTGCGAACTGTGGTTTTGAATCTCCAAAGGCAAGAATCTCCACCTGGGCTGAGGCAGAGCGGGACACTACCCCACCTGGAACAAAAACATCATCATGGCTAAATGATGATAGCGAAATGACGGATGAACTTTTTATCACATCGAAGAAATAGCGGTAATTACCATCTCTGGCTGTTATGAACAATAAGAACTGCAGGGTTTTATGTGCTTGCAGCGGGATGGTTTTCATCAGAGAGATTGCTCCGGTGTTTTCGTCAATAGAGAAGTAGTCATCTTGATTTCCAAAGTCAATGGAGTATTTGATCTGTCCGTTTACGCCTGCATCTGGGTCTTCAGCTTCAACCTGAGAATTACACAACAGAGCAGAAACACAAAGTTAAATATCAGCGGTCGATGCTGCTGTGAGCCTACCCTGGAGTGTTTCCTGGATTTGTGAAACGTTGTGGCTTTGCGTTACATATTACAAACCACAACAATGCTTCAAACATTGTCAAGCATGTAACAGCAGATGTTAGAACCCTGACCTTGTGAGTCGTGTGTGTTTTCGGTGGTTAAATACTGTCGTGGTAAAAGGGTTTGCTTTATATGCAGCCAACTCATTTCAGGGAGCTTAGACACACCGATTTGTCTGTAAGCCAACTTATACCATGTGTCACAAGGAGGCGTTTAGGCCCCCAAGGTTTTTATTATCTGTGAACGGGATTTCATTGCACTGAAAATGTATTTTTATATGTAGATTACTAGTTTTGTTTTGCACATGAATGAAAACGTGGCAGTCTCAAATGAGGAATTCAGTTTAAAAAAGTTTTAATGATCAGAGCAAACCTATCTGTGATATCTTTTAGACAAATCCAAGCACAGAATTCATTGCCTTAAAGATGCTCAAGAAAGACAGCAGCAGAACCAATTACATAACTAACCACAGACTGTATACAAAAGATGTCTGTAGTCACTGGGATGTCACCTCATGGTTTGTGGATTACCATTCGAAAGCCTCGAGTTTGGAATTTTCCAATGCCGTCTTTGTTTTGTTTTTTTAAGTTGAATGTGACGAGCAGGGAGTAACAGGAAACACTGCAGACGCCCATATGGTAATGACTTGTCAATGACAAAGCACCCATGCCCTAAAACATATCCAGCTTTATCACTATTTTCTGCTGAATGGGACCATAATTTACTAAACGGCCACCATGCTGTATTGAAGGAGACACGAAACTAGTGACTGAGACCATAAACCCATTACAAAAATGTTTACTGAGGGAACGAAACACAGCACGGGACTGGCAGATGAAGGTCAACCAGAAAACACTACAGTGACCACACTCAGGCCAGACATCATCCTGAAACATCAAGGCAAGTGGTCCTGCTGGAATTGACTGTTCCCTGGGAAGACCAAATGGAGGAGGCCTTCAAGAGGAAGAGGGCCAAGTATGAGGAGCTGGCAGGCGAATGCCGAAGCAAGGGCTGGAGGACCCGGTGAAACCCCATTGAGGTGGGGTGCAGAGGATTCATTGGCCAGTCCCTCATCGCGGCCCTCAAGATGCTCGGGGTAAAGGGACTGCACACCAGGAAGGCCATCAGGAACATCCTAGACACTGCTGAAAAGGCGTCAAGATGGCTGTGGATCAAGCAGGGTGATCCGTGGACAACACAAGCTACTCAGACACAAGTCGGGGCCCGATCAGCCCTGTCTGGGTCAAATGGGAGAAGGTGTATGATGTTGCCAGACCCAAAACACCCAATGACCCCAGGATACATCACTGAAGATGTGTCGGAGAGTTGCACATGTAGTGTATGTTAAGAACAAAGCAAAGGAGAAGTAGGGTCATTTTCTCATAGGCTTCTATACTTAAGGCTTCTTTTTACAACCAGAGAAGTTGCCCTCTGCTCGCTATTCGAATAAAACAAACAAGAAAATAAACAGATTTAAGGCACTTTCACATTGCAGCGAAATACAAAAACTTGTACTTGCTGTGACCCTGAAAAATGTAGCGTACCATGACGCCTTACCTCAACAAGCAACATCCCCTCTGTTTGGTTGTTGAAGACTTCACTTGTATACTTGCTGCTGGTGAATGCAGGGCTGTTGTCGTTCTCATCCAGAAGAGTCACAATCACATTTGCCTTTGCTACAAAGTTGGGTGCTGCTGTCTCCCTTGCTTCAACCTTTATGAAAAAAAAAGAACATCCGAGGTCAGATCTGTTTGTAAGACCATGTAAGTCCCACAACTTGCACATGGGAAACATGAGGTACCAGCCTGCACGAATGCCCAAATGGATTGTCAAGCAATGAAAAGGTCAACGCTTTAAACCCTAACCCTAAGTCAAGAATACATTTTGAAGCTTTAACCAATATGGACAAACTGCCTGTGAGTGTTATGGATGAAAAGTGGCACTGCCTAAAAAGATCCCAACAAAAGAGAGGGATTGGACCGAAGAGTACCGACTGGCATCTCAACAAAGAAGTAACAGGCACTTATCCAAACTCTAAACCTGGCTTAAGCTGGAATTTTCCCTTAAAGTAACTTCATCTAGACCTCCAAGTCTACATTACCTCAAACGTGATCATTTCAGTGGCCTCCCTGTCCAGAGCTGTGGAGTTTTCCACTCTGATCGTCCCGTCAGAGTCGATAGAGAAAGGAGCAGATTCTGGAAGGATTCGCAAAGTTCCCACAAATCCTCCCTGTGGCAATTAAGGAAGACATTAGAAATATTTTGCAGTTTGATTTCAATGGAAGGACAGTCTTCATTACTGTGTTACGGTAGCAGGTGTTTGATTTAGAAACCGCTTTAAAGTTATTCTGAAAACCAGACTGAAAGTTAACTGATTTGTTGTTAGGAGGTAGGGAGTCTTTAGGATTCATCATAAACAGCAACAACAACATGTTTGAGTCCCGCTGTTGATTGTCAATCCACTGACAATCAAGTTTTCCATGGATGCAGATGCTGTAGCTATAGCTGTACTGTGACTGCTTCTCCAACAAGTTAAAGCAGCTGTCAGTTGGGACGACTTCAAATCTGTTTGAATCTCTGAATAACCAGTTGCTTTCCCTCCTGCCACCAGGCTCTGAAGTAGTATAATTTACCAGAACAAAAGCAGGTGATCTGCACGTTGCATGTTACTCACCTCGTCCCTGTCAGTGACCTCCAGAGTCAGAACAGATGCACCATTGGCCAGATTCTCAAAGACGGCCACATCATAGCTGTCCTTACTGAACTCTGGGGGGTTGTTGTTCACGTCCTTCACCTTCACCA